GTGGTGGTGGCCAACTCTGTACAATCCTGCGCACACAGACCTCATTGAAATAATTTTTATCTTCCTTTAGCCTCCCCGTCTATTTTAGGTACTTTCCCGCGTTTGGCTCTCTCTGTTCAACACAGCACACGACATTCGGGTTTTGCCGCTTCTTTGGGTCTTCATTTCCTTGTGAGGTCTCCTGTGTCACGTAAAACGTATATTAAATAGATTTATATGCTTTTCTCCTATCAACTTAACTCTCCGGCGCAGCCAAAACCCCTAAAACGGCAAAAGGTCCAATTTGTCTTCCCTACACCTACTTGCCTTTCTAATCTGTAGGGGCAACTGGCAACTGTGTTTCACACGCAGACACAGGAGGAGAGCGGGAGCAGCGGGGGCATTTTGCTTTCCCCGCAGGAGTGATGGATTTGCGAACCCCCAGGGCTGCCTGAGACCGGCCTTCTTGGCTCAGCCTGCTCTTGCCTGCCCTCTAGTGGACACTTCTGAGTACTGCTGGCACGAAATTCTAAGCCCTGCAGAAGATTGGCCTCCCACCTGCCCCCGGTCGTTATCAACGCCTTCCTCTCCCGCCTTTCCCGGCCAGCGGGTCTGGGGCTTAGAGTCTTAAAGCCTCGGGAGAGACTCAGAGCAAACGTGGGATGAGGAGGCGCTCGGTGGCTGGAGAAATCCTGTCTACATCAGAGGTTCAAAGAGACAGTGACTGGAAGGCTTTTTGCCGGTTCTGCAGCAATTGTCAGGTGGATCCTGTCCCCGCTCAGAACCCCCGGCGCATGTCATGGGGTCACTCGTACCTACATGCCTGTCCAGCGTGTTGGGGGATTAGTGCAGTGACTCTCAAGCACAGCCCTGTCCCTGTCGGTCCCGCGCCGAAAACCTGCAACGTCTCCTCGCTGCTCCTCGCCCTGGGCCCCGCTGCCCTCCCGCTGGGCCCACCCGTCTGCTTGGTTCCCTTCCCTGCAAGCCCGCCGCTGCGGCCTGATTCCTTGACGTTTACAAGCCCTTCTGCACGCTCAGGCCCCGCGTCTTTGCTCCCCGGGCGCTTCCCTCCACTGTGGAAGTACCTTCCAGATCGCATGCGGACGCCACTTCCTCTGGAACCACTCCCTGGCGCTGTCGGCTCACCCCTCCTTTCCCTCCCACCGCCTCGCCTCGCCTCTCGGGGACTTTGCCCAACTCTGCTGGCGGCCGTGCACCTGTGCCGTCCACGCACCGTTCGCGGAGGCCGTATCTGACTCACTCCTCTCCCTATCTGCGCTCAACCACATAACTCCGTAAGCAGCTGTCTACCTCTTGACTCGAGGGCCGACCCAATGGTGGCTCGCAGAGCGGAGCTGTCACCACGGTGCGCGTCACCACGAGTGGGGCACTGTGCCAAGTGCTCAGGAATCCCGCCCTGGCACGCTAGCAGCCGCCCCGTGGGTACGTGTACTTTTCAGCTGAGAAACTGTTGGGACGCCAGGGGAGCTCTCTCCCTGGGTCTCAGGGCGCCGCTGACTTCACCCGCATCTTTAAGATAGGAACCCTCTGGGTGGTGGCATATAGGAGTGTCGCCTGGCAGCCGGTCATAGTTGATTTCTGTGAGGTGGAGGGGCCATGAGGACAATATGAAAGTCCACGGGTGTAGGTTGTTGTAGGTGGGACTCATGAGGGATCCAGGGCGGTGATGGGACAGTGTCAGAGGCTCCAGACGCTGGGACTGGCTCTGGACACCAGCTGAGAAGTCCTGAAGGCCTCAGGGCATATTTCTCAATAGGATTTGCCCCCCGCCGCTGCTTTTTGATGATTGTAACCTTTATTCTCAGTGCTGGTTCACTTAAAGTGGGGTCAGTGGGTGGTGCTTATTTGTTTCATTTGGCAAATACCTATGGGACAGTGATGACATTCCAGGCTTACGATCTGCTAAGGACACAGGAAATGCCTTTACATTTACATTCTATGTCATCCTAGAACCACTAAGGGTTTCTTTTCAATTAAAAAAAAATTGAGTACCTTAGATAAGACATCTGGAACTTGAAACAAAATAGGCAAATGCGTATCCTTCTTAGATGAAATCAGAAATGCAGAGGCGTGAGGAGATCTGAAGTAATCAAAACAAGAGCTAGTTAGATCATAGTCTCTGGTTTGAAGAGTCAAGCCGTTGGTTGTTTCAGAGATGCCGGGGTCCAAATGAGCAGCCCCAAAATGTGCCACTTTGGCCCGTAGATTATTTTGAGCTGATAACAGTCAAGGCCCAAAAGACTCAGGAAGAAACTTTGACTTTCCCCCTAAGCGCCTAAAAGAGTTTAGATAGAGACCCTGCTCCAGGAAGAGCACAGTCACCATAGATACCTACAGTATAATATGAACTAAGGGAGGTAGACAGGCAGGAACTTGGCAAAGTCTGTTAAAATTCATCTCCGTGTCCCATGGTTTCTGGACGGCCCCTCAAACATTTGTTTACTAAACATTTACTCTTTCCATTCTTCCTATGAATTGTCTTTCTTCCCTTTGAAATCCCCAACCCCTGCCTCCTTCTCCTTGGTTCAGGATGACATATATACCTCATTTGGCCTGACTGTCTTTGGAATCTCATGTGGGTTCCTGAATGTAAAAAATTAAGTTTGATTTTCTCTTGTTAATATGTCTTATGTCAATTGGAGTCTCAGACCAGCCAAAAGAAACTTGAAGAATAAAGGACACTTTTTTCCTTTCCAACTGAGATAAACCAAGGGACTCCCTGAGAAGTTGTTTTCCATCCCAGTCCTAAAGGGTGCAGGCCAGCTTTTAAAAGATGGACTTGCCCTTTTAAGTCACTCTGGCTTCTCTGTCCTGTTTGTATTGAACTAACCAATGCCACTTGTGGATTGTCAGAGACAGTGTACAAATTAAGTGTACAAAAAAGACAGTGTACAAAAAATTGTTCAGGGCATATGGGTAGCTCAGTCAGTTGGGTGTCCAATTCTTTAAAAAAAAAATTTTTAATGTTTATTTACCTTTGAGAGAGAGACAGAGCACAAGCGGTGGAGGGGCAGAGGGAGAGGGAGACACAGAATCTGAAGCAGGCTCCAGGCTCCGAGCTGTCAGCACAGAGCCTGACGTGAGGCTTCAACCCACAGACCCATCATTACCTAAGCCGAAGTTGGACGCTTAACCGACTGAGCCACCCAGGCGTCCCAAGTGTCCAATTGTTGATTTAGGCTCAGGTCACGGGTTCTGGGATCCTGCCCTGCATCGGCTCTGCTCTGGGCATGAAGACTGCTTAAGATTTTCTCTCTCTCTCTCCCTCTACCCCTTTCCCCCACTCACACTTGCTCTCTCTATGAAATGAAATGAAATGCTTTAAAAAATTGTTCAGCAAAGCAGATGTGTAATGGGTGAAATGCCCCCAGATCTCCTTCTTGAAAAGACCTATGGAGAAGTTATTCATGAGAAGTGCAGGGTTTTTTCATGCCTGGACTGCTTCCTTGGAGTCTGTGTCCCTGGATGCTGAATCCACTCATTTCTTCCCGTGGAACATATTCTTCCTTCAACCGCTCTGGAACATTCTTTCTTTCTAGTCAGGGGGTGAAGCCGTGAAGCTGCAGGGATAGTATCTGTTCTCTTCACAGGTGTGACCTGCCTCGCGGCTGTTGTGGTTCATTTTATTACAGTGTAAGAGGCCAAGGCCAGCAGGGGGCCTGCACATCATAAACTGCCTGTATATGCAGCGCTGTGCATGCCCCTGGCATTCCAGAAATGGAAACTCGGAATGCCAGGAACACCTCTCCTCTCTAATGAGGAAAGATTTCATTGTTCATTGTTCATTTATAACACAGGCACGTGAAAGGAGTTTGGGGTCCCCGAGGCATTTATGGTTTCATTTCTCCTCACCCTGGGCCCTGGGAGAGCAGGGGAGGTGGGTCTGACCCAGCTCCTTTGCTGCCTTTTGTTTGATTTGTGAACAGCCGGGCTTGAGCATGACATGCAAATGCTGACCAAGAGACACCTTAGAACTGCTTTAACACTCAATCTCAAAGAAGTAGGGCCTCAGTGTGACCTGAGGGCTCTCGAGACTCATGATGAGTTTGGCTTCAGGTCAGGCACTGGTGCGGGGAGCTGGGCCTCACCCTCTGCAGCCCTGCAGGTGCGTTTCAGGAGTTTGCGGATGGGGGTGCGCAGAGTACATTTTGCTAGCTGTTTCTGCCTCTTTTTTAGGCTGTTCCATGTTAGAACTGCTCGTCCCAAAGTAGGTTAATACTTAAAGCACATGTGTAACTTTCTTACCGAGATCTTAGAAGAGGGTTTTGCTGGAAATAAACAGCTTGGAACCCAGGGCTTTAGCCAGAGAAAGAGTTGCTGATCTTGAAGAATTGTTTGGTGCTACTCAAACCAACCATCCTTTCAAAGACTTTGTATTCCTGTTGTCTTCCTGAAGGCTCAGGGCACCACACCGCTGTTGTCCAGTCAGCGTCTTTGGAGGTGGGGAAGCATCATTTCTCTTCCAAAGGGCTGAGATTGCTGCCCAAATACTCCCAGTTTAGAAACGAGTAGAGCTTCGCTGACCGCTTAGGTCATTTTTCCCTGTGACTAGCTTGAGGTTAGCTGGCCGGAGGGAAAATTGACCCTTCCCTTCCCAGCTGGCTGCCAATAGTCTGGCCCTTCTGACACTCCAGGACCCGGCTGTGAAAGGGAACAGGCCCTGGGGGTACACAGCTGTATTCTGGGTCTGCCTTTTTCAAGCCCCCTTCCTGTCCCCTACCCCTGTAGGTACCCCAAACTGTATAGTCAGGGACTAAGACAGCTGGGGTGACAGAGCCCCGCCAGGGAGGCTTTACCTCTGGCTGCAGGGGCAGGTCTAATGAGAACAAGGAGGAGGGTGGGATGGAAATGGTGGACTGCTACCCTAATCAGATGTCAAACACGGGCCATTTCACATGAGCAAGACACGAGCTAGAGTTTAGATACAAAGTAAAAATAGCAGATCGGAACAAGCACTTCATAGGTGCTCTGAAAACACACACATCTGTTTCTTTGTGGAGAGTGTGGCTTTGAAAAAGGGCAGCAGATAAAGCAAAGGTACATGTTATTGAACAGGGGATGTGGGGAGAATGTCCCTCATGGCAGTCGCTGATCTCTGGGCTGGAAGGTATGTGACCCTTACCAACAGGAGGAAAAACTCCTTTCGAGACTCCAACCTTCCTAGCCAACTGTCGCACGTGCCAGAGAGCCGGCCCTCTTCACCTACAAAGTGCTTTCGAGGTTGCCTCCTGACCTGCTCTCTCCTTACTCTCCCTCTGATTGCTCCTGTTCACTATTCAGCCCCACATTGCCTCACACTCCCCCTTCCCCTCCCCAGAGCTGGGTATATCACCACACCCAGGGACCAAAAATGCAGGAGGAGTGAGGAAGCCCACTCATTCCGCGTGTCAGCACTGACATGCTGCTAACACACAGGCACCTCCTATTTCGAAAAAGAGAAACATGTTCCATAGCAGTTTGTTGGGACGTGTCAGGCTTGGTGAGATTGGAGAGTGTCTCAAAGTGCTACACAGGCAGCTGCTACTCTACAAAGGCAGGAATTTATGGTTCTAGACTTTTGGTGGTTAAAATTAGAAAATTCCAAACGAAAGCTGAGGAGAAAAAGTAAGATGCCGAGGGGGAGGGAAGTGTGTGGAGAACGCTATCCACGGGCAAAATTCTTCCGTATTGCTGCGTGATGGTTGCAGAGAGGGAGGTTAATTAAGAGCTCGTCCCCCTGCCAAGACTATCCTCAGTGCCCACTTTTGTCTGAGAAACCCAGGCCATTTCTGGTTTTAGAGCTCTCAATTTGGGTTTCTCAACCGACCAGGTTTGTCCCTCTGAGAACTGCCCCAGCAATCACCTTCCGTGAGGACTTTGTTGAAACCTTTGCCCTCAGGGGCTGGGCTGTTACCTTTTGGGAAGGCTGAGCACCAGTGGCTTGTTGCTGCGGCTGGCCTCACTAAGCCAAGGGATCTTGTCAAATTTTGGCACAGAAACCTGGAGGGAAATGGAAAGAGATCGGTTTGCAGAATTTATTGCGTTTGAGCATTGCCATCAAAACCAGGACCAAAGTCGGCTAATGGCAGCTCTACAAATGCCAGCACTTTCCAAAACATTTTTTATGATTTATATTTGAGTCTTTTGAGTCTCCCGTAAAGTCTCCAAGAGTAAATAGTGTTATCTCCACTTTACAGACGAAGAAAATCAGAGCTCAGGCATTATGATTTGCCAAGTCACACAGCTAGTAAGTGGATTCGCGTTTTCTGACTTTGGTGCCCCCTATATCTTGTATTCTACTATCTCTATCCCTTTGCTGCTTTATTACTTCCATCTGTTTATGCATCCTCTGAGAGTTCTACGAAGTCAGCTGAATATCAGCAACCTCCCGTTCAGTCTCCGGCTGTTTTCAGCCACAGTGTCCTCCACCCCAATTCCTTCTAGGCAGCAAAGAGGAGAGAACCACACTTGGAAGCTACAGACAACTGGATGTTAATCTTGACGAACCCATTTTTCAGCTGTGTGGCTTTGGACGCATCACAACCTCTCTGAGCCTCAATTTTGTCCTCTGTGAGGAGATCTATCATCACTTTACAGGTCAATGCACAAGACACAAAGCTCCAGGAGAGCAGGGATTTTTGTCGTCTTCATTCACTGTTGTATCAGGAGCACCTAATACAGTACCTGTATGTGTCCAATGAATTCACGGATGCATGGGAAGTCCCTAGTTGAGGGCCTTAGTAACCGGAGCTCAGTAAAAGTAGGCTTTATAATCTCTCGTTACCAGCCCAGCATCTACCCCTGGCGTTGTTCGGACGCCAAATCCTGTTGGGGACTGGCTTTTTCCTGGACTCTGAGCGGTGCGTCCTCAGAGGGGAGACGGGAGGTCCTCTGAGCAGCCAGGAGGGGGCAGCAGCGACCTCGCAGTCTCTCTAGCCGGGGAAGGGCGCTCTTGCCGCGGAGGCTGTGGCGGACCCGGAAGCGCTCGGCCGCCGTCGCGACCCCCGGCGCCCCGGATGGGGAAGGAGGCGGGCGGCCGCCCTTCCCGGCCGCGCAGCCCTAGGAATTGCAGGCAGGTGGGTTTCGAGCGGGAGTCAGTGTTTGCGGGCCTCTTTCTCCTCTGCCATCCTCACCGGCGGCGGGCGCGGGAGGCCCCGGAGGGGGAGTGGGGCGCCCCCGGGGACACCTGCCCGACCCCCGGCCCCATGGAGGGGCGTTGCCCTTTCCGGCGCCGCGGATCCTCCAGCCGGGGCGAAGCCGTGAGCTCCTGGGGCCGGGGTCCTTGCTGCAGTGAGGGGGCTCCCAGGGTGTCTCGCTTGTGAAGCAAAACCTAGCGCGGGCTCTATGGAAGAAATAAGGTCGGCAATAAGAATTTTCTTCGCAGACTTGCAGCATGACCCTGGTATTTCTGACTCTTAAGTTTTCATTGTGAAAAACGGGTCGCTGTCTTCGAACCTCCCAAGAGTTTTTCCGTTATAAGTGGAGTGGTAACTTTTTAAGGGATGTTACGCTCAGTTAATGGATTAAGAATCTTTGAGTCCTTGGTACCTTCTTTCTTTTCTTTTTTCTTTTCTTTTTTTCCCCTTTCTTTTCTTTCTTTCTTTCTTTCTTTTTTTTTTTTTTTTTTTTTTTTTTTTAATAACACATGCCTTTGAGAACTCCGTAAATAAAAGCTCTGGATCCTATCCCTAGAAATTTGCACTAAGTGCAGCTACAAGCATACAGCGACAGGGAGGGCTTTGGGTGAAGCCTCGGAGATACGTGAACCCCTGAGCTAACTGGTTTAGAGGGAGACGTGATGTGAGGCCCAGGCTTTGGGGTCAGACATTGGTTTGAATCTGGCTCCAGTGTTTATCACTGTTAACTTGGGCTAAAGTTACTTTAAGCACTTTGAATCTCGGGTTTTTTCTTGTTTACTAACTAAAGTGGAGCTAATGCTAACTTGAAAGCATGCGGGGATTAAATGAAAGAAGCTCCAGAGGCACTTGGCGCGGAGTAGGCACTCAGTACGTACTAGCTACCAGTTGTCTGTTATCATCCGTGGGATTATAATTTAAAATCTGGAACAGAGGTTGAATGTCCACGGTTATAAAATGGCCACCGCACACATGTTGCTCAGACTTCTAATAAACTGGATTGCTTTGACTTTAACTCTATTCTTCCCGACGGTTCACAGCTTTCCGAGGTTCATGGTGTGTCTTTTTCCAGGAACTTGGCCTAGCCTGGGTTGCCGCCTTTGAAAGCGAGGCAGGTCGGTGCAGTGTCAGCCACCACCCGGCATGGGATTTCCAGAGAGGTCTTATTTCGGAACTTTATAAGGAACGAGAACCATGTGGACTTCTGCGAGGGAGACTGAGCTGGCCTGAGTTTGATGGAGAGGATAATGGGGACCCAGCCTGTAGCTGACACTGAGGAGGCCAAGTGGCAGAAGGTCCTGTACGAGCGACAGCCGTTTCCCGATAACTACGTGGACCGGCGTTTCCTGGAAGAGCTCCGGAAAAACATCCACGCCCGGAAGTACCAGTACTGGGCCGTGGTGTTCGAGTCGAGCGTGGTGATACAGCAGCTGTGCAGCGTCTGTGTGTTTGTGGTCATCTGGTGGTATATGGATGAGGGCCTTCTGGCCCCCCAGTGGCTCTTTGGGACCGGCTTGGCCTCTTCACTGATTGGCTATGTTTTGTTCGATCTCATTGACGGAGGTGAAGGACGGAAGAAGAGTGGGCG